GGTATTTTAATTGCTAAGAAAAAACTTTTTACTAATGAAGTTCCATCGAATGTTGGAGGTGGTACAGTTAATTTTGTAACTCGAGAGCAAGTTGAATATGTACAAGATATTGAAGCACGTGAAGAAGGTGGAACACCGAATATTCTTGGTGCTATTCGAGCTGGTTTAGTTTTTCATTTAAAAGAATCTGTTGGTTACCATACAATTGATGCACGTGAAGATGCATTAGTTGCAAAATTCTTTGAACGATTTCGAAATCATCAAACATTATTTGTACTTGGATCAACAACTGCTTCCAGACTAGGAATATTTTCATTTCTTATTTATGTGCCATTTTTTCATAAATATTTACATCATAATTTTATTTGTGCATTATTAAATGATTTATTTGGTATTCAAGTACGATCAGGATGTTCTTGTGCTGGACCTTACGTTTTGGTAAGTGAAACCTAAGAAGAGATATTCTGTGAAACATGATCTGAAAGATGTGTACCACAGACTGAGACATACATGCATAGCGACAAAATAAAAATTTATTCTGCTGCTATTAACTAGTTGACATGAATAGTGAAGTATAATAAAACCGTAATACATATTTTGTGTCTCGAATAAAAGAGAATATGGAGTATATACAATAGTGATTCGTATGAATTTTTGTAAAAGATTATCTAAAAAGAGTTTCAAAGTATATAAGTAAACACTTGAATCCATTCCCTTACTCCTCTTTCATAAGCCGAGACAGATGTTGATATACGGGCTATGTTCTTACATCAATAACGTCTGGTAATAATATATGAACCACTTCTTTATTATATTTTCTAATGGTTAAGTAAAAGAATGGTGAAGATATGTATCCCCAAATAGGTGAAATAAGACAATCTCTCTATCATTAGCAATAACATGAACATAGTGTTTCATATCTCAATCCCACAAAGATTGTGCTAACAGTCTTTTTTTTTAAATAAAACTTGTTATTGTTTTTAATGTAGGATCTACTTAATATTGATGATCAAACAGCAGACATTTATACAAAATTTATTACGACAGATGAAGAGTAAGTCTTAATAAAACAATTTTAGAAATCATTCATATAAATTTAAGTAGAGGATCTAATGGAATATCTAAAATTGAATTGATGAAACCTGGTTTTACCCGATTTAATTTATCATATTTTGCAAGCGATGAAGAAGTTGATTATATTTTAAACGCAGTTGAATTTATTGCAAATGACGGATGGAAATTTTTATCATTGGTAAAAATTGTTTTTCAATAATTTTATTTTAAGAGAAATTCCTTCTTTTTTGCTTGTTTTAGTATACTTATGATGTAAAAACGGCTGTTTGGCGCCCTCGTACTATATCATCAGGAAATCATTTTTATCAATATCATAGTCTTCAAACGATTACATATCAAAATGGTACAATGGAAGAGAATATTAAATCACAGCAAAAAATGGAACTTTTTGTAAATGAACTTGATTTTTTTATCATTAATTCGATACATTGTTTTTTTTTCTTCCTGTAGAATTCAAATGTTCCTCGGTTAATCACAAATTCACCTTCAGATAAGGATCCAATCGAAGAAGCTAAATCAATGGCAAAGAATATACCAAAATATGTTTATGAAAATGTCGATTTTCGAACTGATCCACCACTGAATGTTCCAGATGAATATAAAGATTTTATTTGGTTTGTCACACCTAAAAACATTATCCTAAACATAGTCTTCGATTATGAACAAAGTCAAAAAAATTATTCTAAACCAGAACCATTCCGTCCAAAAATGGATAATTGATAATTTAAGAAAAACAAAATAACTATTGCTATATTTCTACAAGAGTTACAATCGATCTTTTTTTTGACTGTAAAAAGTTTCTAGTCAGCTGTCAAGCATCATATCGATCTGATTGTAAATATATACAACCATTTATAAAAAAATAAACTTGTATCTTGTGTGTGAATCTATTGTTTTCTTTAAAGGTCTACTCAAATCATTGTATCCTTGACATGATAGAACACCACACAAAATGTATTCTATTGTAAAATAATTGAAAATTTTATTGATCCAATTTCGAAATCAGTAATAGAAAAGCAATATTTTTTTATCCGAGACCGTTATAGTGTACTTTTTTTGACCTGCCGTGAGCTGCTATGAAGGGCATCTACAGCCCAAAGATACAGTTGATTTTTTGATTCATGGCAAATTTAAAAGTCGAGGAAAAATCATTTGTATATTTTTCGGAGGACCACTTATTGCTGCGTTTGCAGTCGATGTTCTAGCGTATACTGAAAAAAGTAGATCTTATGTACCATGGATGGTAGCAGACACGAAGAAATGTTTTATCATTATCACCAATCATAGTAACAGACGTCTTAACGAAGTTTCTCAAGATGTGAGTGTGGGCGTCTGTCTATTCTACCTCCACATCCACATGTTCTTTAAATGCTCAACAATTAAAATCATTTTCTTTTCAAATGATAGAAATATTCATTCTGTATCAAAATAAAGATTTTGATTAGTGTGTTGTGTTATCAGGGACGGCGCGAAGTAATGAGAGCGGGGGGAGGGGGTTGAAAATGAGAGGAAATTCAAAAAATCCATAAAATGCTAGAAATTCAGTCTAAACTGTTAAAATATAAGGAATTAAAAATAATAATATTTATTGTTTGTTCATGTATTTAATTAAAAATATTGCAAAAGGTAAAAAAACAAATATAGCTTAAACAAACTGAAGTTGATGACCAGTTTTATTTTTTGACCATATGTCAACTACTTTATTTTTCAATTGATCCAAAATAAATGTTTCTAATGTACGTGTGACTAATGAATGTAATCGTTCATCATTCATTTTCGTTCTTAATCTGTTCTTCACGATTTTCATTTTACTAAACAATCTTTCGACACTTGCTGCCGTCACTGATAATGTTAAAAGATCAGTGCTGAGATCTGAAGTAATTTTCGTCACAATCAATGCAAAGTACTTAAGCTCGCATTGATAGTGGTGGAACTGATTCACATATTTCTTAGTTTAATCAATCCTACTGCGCCTAATTATGTATCAATGAACTAGAAGAAAATGTTATTTTACATTATCACAAACAAAGAATTTATATACCAATTTCTTATTATTATTAGCTGTCTTTTTTTTTACTACAAGATGTTATAGGGAATAAAAAGAGGACAGCCCTCCCATTTCCATCTTCGAACAACGAAGAAAACTGCAAGAAATATTTCCACAAATGGTGGAATCTGTACACTAATATTTTGCCAAATCGAAGTCTCAGGTGAACTTCCTATTTTTCTGAGAAAATACCACTAAATTTTATTCTATTAGCGAGAAACCATCTTCAATTTTCTTGAATTTGAAAGAAAAATTTCTTCAATTTGGGAGAAAAAAATCTTCATTTTTCTTCGAATCGGAGGAAAACTGGAGTCGAAATTTCCAAAGCAGGAG